TCGACGAATCAGGAAACCGCTAGTAGAAAAGAGGGGCGGGCAGAAGATGCACAATAGCAAAATCACACCGAAAATATTAGTTCTTATGAAAGTCATCTTTTTAAGACAACAAGAAAATTTTTTTTTTAATCCATACAAGATAAATTATATATCTAAACAACAACAAAAATGTCCATCCCCAAGTTCTACGGATCTTTAGAAATGTTTTAATTCAATGTCCAATTATGCTAGCTACTCTGTCGCTCATTCGGTCTTTAAAGCATTCTAATGTATTCACTATTAAGACAATACTAACTTAACAACAGAAACAACGTTTCGGTATTAAAAGTTCATGGCAGTTTAATCAACTTTTGCTTAGAATATTTTCTATTAGTAGTCTTTAGCTTTAACAATAACTAATACATAAATAAAGACACGTTTTAAGTAAATAGTTGGTTCAATGACTCGACTGAAGAAAACATAATATTTATATATTAATAGATGTTTAATTCTTTGAAATTACATATGTTTTAATTATTTAATATTTCAATGTTTCTCTGTGTATTGTTCAGCTGAGATATTGAAGAACAAGTAGAAATTTTGAATGTGATTAAGCATATAATTATGCTGTAAAAAACCAGGGTCAATATCGTATCTATTAACAGCAGATACATAATACTTAAACGCGTTAGAAGATTAGAGATACGTTTTTTAAATCTATCTGTAATGGCTTGAAAAAATTTGAGGTAATTTAGTCGGATATTCTTGTGACTCCTCTTCTGGATTATATGGTCTTAAAGAGAGAATGTGTGGGAACATGGGTGTCTATTGTTTGCGTAAAATTATTCTGGATCGTTTTGAAGTTTAGAATCTTAAATTCAGATTGAATTTGCGGTGGATACAATCTTCCCAGCGAATAATTTCTAACGCCAATCAATATTCGTATTGCGGATAGGCAAAAAAGTAATGCATGAAAGAATTATGGAAGCTGTACATCAGTGCATTGTCGATCATTCGAAATAGGACAGGCTACATTTTTACGATCGGTTTACGCAAGCGTATGAATCAATGACCATATTGAGTTGAATTACTGACTCAAGCCGAACTACTATTAGATTTCATTCATTGTTTTTGCAATCCCATTTTTAAAACGAAGATGTAAGAAATTATCAGGAATTTCAACTACTAGTGTATGGCGGACATGTCGCCTTATAAATAGGTTTCAAAACAACAGAAAATTATTGTTTCAAATGGTATGACTTTGTCATTACTATTTCGTTATTGTTATTTGAATTGCTATTGTCATTAGTATTTGAAATTATATCGCTCATGCCTTCAACGACGTAATGTGTCAAACATTTAAGCTCTATTGATAAGTTTTTTTTTATTTTTAATATACTTGAAATTGTCTCGAAACAAGGCCTTAGGCGGCATAGAATACATTTTTTTTTCTCCTTTTTTTTTATTTTAGAAAGGCAGAAGCCGGTTTTTTCAAATGTAGCTTTTTGCGCTGTTTATGCATATTGCATATAAAAGCATTTTTAACGCCACTCCAATAACGGCTACCGTATGCATTTAGCTTTGCTGATTGCTATGCAAAAAAAAAAATGTATTTCTCGTTTTTTACAGTCAGTGGAGAGGTGACGGATTAAGTGATTTTTAAATGGAGAAAATCTGCAATTTATATGTTGTAAATAAACACAGTTCAGTCTAGAATATTGGGAGGGAAGCAATTTTGATAGAAAATGATTGGGAAAATTGTAAAAATCATACCTATGACATCGTTTCTAAGAAAATTGTCTTTAAAACGCACCGATGCTCATCGGTGACTGATCACAGTGTACTGGATTTGTTCCTGCATTTGTAATACGTATTGGAAGCTTCTTAAAGTATATACGATATAATTATGATACGTTAGCGCATGATAGGCCCACCCGTACGGTCGGAATAGAAAACGAGATTTGAATAAACACTCTTAGTTATTGGTCGCGTACTAAGTTTGAAGGTAAGTATATCGTGTTGACGCTCAAGTCCATGCAATACATAAAAATGCATCTGATTCTCTGACAAACTTGGTCACAGTAATCAAGAATTTTCTAATCAACGATATTAAAAAGCAGTAAAACAAATAACTAACATGGCTAACAGTAACGATCCAATGAAAAAATATCCCCACGCCTGCTATTTTGCAATGTTTCGGGTTAAAGTGCGAAGGGATAATTTCGCAATAATACCCGGAAGTTCGCTCAGGGACGTCGCAACTTTTGAAGTGACCAAAATCGGTAAACAATCGTGCTGACAGTATAACTTACACTTCGCGGTGACAGCCCACTTACGGACAGCCATACGAAACATAGCTAAAACCATCCTGCAATTACGTTTGCATTACCCCAAGACGGGCTCCCGTTTAAAGGTAATTAATTCTTACGATATAATTCTGCGTCTTTCGAGAATGGCTTATTGGCTTATTTCCACACATGGTGCAATTTCTACACCCAGAGATATGGAAAATATATTTTTCTAAGAAAAACGACAGAAATAACTCGACAATCCCATGTCCAGTTAAAGCAAAAATTTGGTTCTCCGTTCGCGCAGCTTAAGAGCTCTCCAGGTTTATTGCTCATCATCACTTATACCCTAGGAGGGAAACAACGACAAAAACATGACAGTTCGTACTTGTAAGTCACCACCACCCAGTCGGTGGGTGTAACAGAATCGGCTACGGCCAGATATAAATTTCTTGCTTGCTTTTTATTTAATATCCCATTTAATATTTATTGTCTATTAAAATTAACAATTTATTGCTTTCATCATAACTTAAATAAAAATAGATAACCATTTTTTTTTAAAGAATTTTATTTAACACAATTTGTCTTCTCTTCCAATTCATTTATTTTCACTGGTGCGGTTCAATTAAAAGTGTGTACTAAATGAAAAAAATCAAAGTTCATTTTGTTTATATTAAATTTAACTAAGTTCCGTTTATCTTTCGCCTTAAAATTGAGCTGAAAGCTAAAATTTATCAAACAACTATTTGCTTGAAATCTTTAAACAAATGGCGTCGGCATTTCTTACAAAAGCCACAGTCACTTTGGCTAAAAAACTAAATTAATTTCAAGAGAAATGGCTACATGTGCTGTGTTCTCTTTAGTTATGACGACATTTCTTTCAAGGCGAATATTATCTTACAACTTTTTATAGCGTATTTTTTCAGAGATCAGGCTAAGTACCACATTTAATGTTCGAAGGTGAAGTACGGATGCATGTATTAAATTAAAAATTTGTTGTTATTTTTCGGTTTAAGTAAAAGTCGAAAATCTGTGTAAAGAGGGGCAAAAATGGGGAAGACGCATTGCTACATTGGCGCTTGATTAAGAAATTATTAGATTGTCTAAAAAGTGCTGGGCCTTTGGAAGGCAATTTGTATATTAAAGACATAGATAGCCTCGGCTCAAGTAAGTGTCTTTTAAAGTAGTTTTAGTAAATTTTCGATTGACTTTTGTTAACGTTTAACGTAGAAAATAATCAAAGTCTTATGCACGAGTATAAGCAAACGATTCAATACCCGGGTTGCATCGGGTGCCGAGAATATTACACTACATTCTGACATGTTCACGTAGTATTTCAATTCCCACTCGCTTTACGAATAATGTCAAAATCTATATTAAACCCTATAGAGAATATTTTTATACCCATCGTCGAAGGATGAGGGTTATGTTTAATTCTCAAAATGTTTGCAACGCCCAGAAGGAAGCTCTTTCGAGACTCTACAAAATACATATAAGTATTCTTTATTAGCATCAACTTCTGAATCGATTTAAGTATGTCCGTCTGAGTAATGTTTATTGTGAACATTCTCCTGGCCGCAAAAATGAAGCTATCGACACATGGGAAATTGGATTGTTTCATTGGTACTTAATGAAGGCCGCTGAAATGTGCAAGATAAATTGGTCAGTCTCTTCAACAAGTATGAAAATTATATTCGGTCGCGACCGAATCGTTCATACTCGTTGCCGTCATTCTAAAGAAAACAAAACAAGTGAAAAAGTTAAATTTTTAGGCTCTATAATATGGGGTAAGCGCGGTTGCTTTTTTTTTCTATTTTCATAATAAAAGTTTCCGCTACGCGGGCGGGAGTTGTCGGCGTTTCCTTGAAAAGCTTAGGTGACTTCCAAATTCGTTTGCGAATTTATAGACGATATCTTCTTTTTCGCTAACGGGAGCATGTTTACCACCGATACTACGCAGTTGGGCGGAGGGACAGATGCGCATTTCAAATTTAAAGCTGGCCAAGAATTTATGTACCTATGGTGATTTTGAAATCTGTTTTGAAAGAAATCAGTTCTTTGATACATTAGAACATAGGGTAGGCGTAGTAAATGTTTTCTACATTTGTGCAGGTATTGCAGCGTTAATTAAGAATTTGATGTTGGTCAAGAATATATGTACTTTGTAAGGCATCTGAAGCTTCCTTCTGGGCTTTTTGCAAACGTTTTGACAAAATGAATATACCCTTCATCGGGTGCTAGGTATAAAAAGGATAGGAGTGCATGCCTATTAAGTAGATTAATGTTTTATATCGGAGTTTAGGTTTTTATGAAATTCTTTTGTTTTATATAAATATTTCAAATATCTACCGTTTTTAGCGGGGTTTCCTTTGCAAAATGATGGTATGTATTCACTTTCACCTTTGGAAGTACCTAAAACTATCTGTAATTTTGCAAAATATTTTTTATATTAATTCAATCTATGCAATGCGAGTTCTACAAACAAAATAAGAGCACATCGTCGGCTTCTGAATACCCACCACCAAAACTGTCGGACGAAAAGACTCATAAAAATGCTACGCAAGACACGCTTACTAATCTACCCTTACCAATGCGGCAACTAAAAAAAGTTTTTTTTTGCAAATATCTTCACTTATCTGTTATAGCGAAGAAAAAGTTTTTTATGTGATGGCAATAATTCTCATGCGCTTTATATTTATTTTCGTATAAGCAGCTCATAGCAATGCTTAGTCGTCCTTCCTTGTCATGGGGAGCATGGTACTCTATGAACGTTTAGTGAGAGTATTTATGCTGACACCATTTATTTAAATAACCCCCCGTACGCTTTGTCTAAAGTGTATGGAATTTTTGGAAAAAACCCTCTTACTTTATAGAGGGTTTTTATATGCAAATCAATTACAGATACGAACCGCAGATATATTTATCCCAGTTGCTAAGCTAATGCAAAGGCAACGAATGCTCTCTAAGCACTCCCGGGCCGTTGCTTTTTATTGTGTTTCCTTCTATTTTCTATACCTTTGGCTTGTCGATCGATATCAACAATTCAAATAAATTTGTGTTGATATATGCATTTGTAAATATAAATGTGTGTTGACTATGCGCTTATGTATACTTTATAAGGCAGTTAGTATATGCAACGTGACTATAATTGTATTTAATTTGCACAGTTTTACGTAAAAGTGTCATGAAGTACGTCAGTAAAAGTTGAAAGCATTTGTAGTGTTGTCTCTTTTAAGCAAACTTTGCAAGAAAAAAGAAAGCGGCAAATATAATGCACCTCATTGCAGGAAAGTGAGGTACTCAATTTTATGCTCCACTTATAATCGAAATAGATTATTGCAGTGTTGTCCGTGCTATCGAATTTCTCCAGAACTCTGAAGTTAAATCATTTTCTGAAATGATATTTAAAGATAAGTTGAGTACTTCTATGGAATCGCTAGAGCTAAAACTGCAAAAAAACAAAGAAAAATATAGTAATGAAAGGTGCCCAGGATTCGTTTCAAGACGTATATAAATTGCTTTTGTTATCGCTTTACGTCGATGGAAAACAAAAAAAAAAACTGACATTTCACTCTATTGTTTTGAATGGGAACGGCGAGTATAGTCTGTATAATGCAACAATGTTGTGTGAATCAATAAAATGTAAATTTATTTATTGCATTTTCTAAATAGACGTCTGTCAACGTTGTTAAATGATTTATTGATCTCCTATTTAAAAGTAACGTTGTAATAATTTAGCGAACGCTTATTCTGCGATAAGCAGAAAACTTTATTTAAGAAAGTTTTCTTTCACTTAAATCTCACCGACTTTCTTGTTCGACAGCCTAAGACTTTTACATAAATTCTTTGACGAATTCTCTAAAAGTTGTACATTGCGGGAACGGCCGCAATTTGCATAAAATCATATAGGTGTTGTGGGAGTGTCTTTTGACTAGTTTAGGTGATTTTCGAATGCTTTTGCAAATTTATAGGCGACGTTTTCATTTTTGCGAACGGATGAATATTTACCATAGGCAATAGATAGATGGACATGAGGACAGACGAGCATATGGGCAAATTGCAAATTTTATAAGATTTTTGTTACTTGGCGTTATAAAGGCAATGACGAAAAAACTGAAATTTTGATACAGTATAACATTCGGTAGGCGTGGCGAATTTTTATTATCTTTGTACGTACACTACATCATTATCCGTAGAATAATTTAACAATTAAAATTATTGTAGATTTATCTGCTGTAGATTATGAGTAATGATTAAAAAACTAGTGGTTTATTTTTTTGGCAAAAAGAGGTGTTCTCAGTTTACGTGGTAATGTGGGCGTCTCCTTCGACCAATTTAACCCACTTCCAATACCAACTTGCATGCAAGAACTTCCAAAAATGTTTGCAACAAATGGATAGCCGGACAGACGGACATGCTTAAATCGATTCAGAATATCATGCTAATCAGGAATATATATAATTGGTGGTGTCGCTGAAGCTTCCTTCTGAACGTTGCAAACATTTTGATAGAAATGATTATACCTCTCCTTCCTTGATGCTATGTTGACATGAAGAAGCTCCAATAATTACCTAATATGACTAGATTTTCTTTCTATTCGTTTTTAAAGCAAGGAAGATATGGTTTCCCATAAATATACGAAATTGTCAATATAACATCGTATGTGGGCATAACCACCATGCAACGTTCAACATAGTCTTAACCTTTTCTTGGGGCTCTGGCCGAATAGCAGCAAGTAGATTTGGAAAAATATTTGACGTCGTAAACGAAAGATGTCTCTGAGTTGATTGTGCTCACCATACATAAAGCAACATAAGAAATCCACAATCAGTCTTAAGATCTTAAGTGAATCAAATTCAGGATACAAGCGGTTGGAACTTCTAAAAATACACTTAATCGTAGTAATTACCAAGAAGGCATATTAAAAATAACTTTTCAGACGACTGAAAACCAATAACACTTTTATTAAATAAATTTCATTGCACGTACTTCACTTTTTGTACTAATAAAAATTTTTCTCATAATCTCTGTCTGATATTAACAAAAAAAATTCCAATTCAAAGCAAACAAAAGCTTTTTTAAAACGTGATATGATTGTAAAATAATTTATTTGTTTATTATTTACTTGTATTTAGTAATATAGCAACCCTTAAAGGAACAAAGAACGCAATTTTATAACCCATAGATAAAAACATTTACGTTGCTTAACTTTATTTATAAACAAACATACAAATCTATTGTTTGCTTAGCAATAATTAGATAAAAAAACAAGTAAGAGCATTGTAGTTGGGCAAGGTTAACTATTAGATACCCTACGCAACTTCACCTAATACAGTTATTCACAATAATACAAAGGCATAGTTTTTATGAAAGGCCGTGTATTGGAAGAATCCTTATATACAATGGTATCCCAAAAAAAAATATTTGTTGATATTTATGAACTAAATCATGAAATATTAAACATTGTATCTTTTTACTATACAAAGATTCAGTTTTCATAGGAACGGTTGGTTATAGGGGGGAGAAGATTCAAAAAATTGTCCCAGCCGAATCAAATTTTTCGTACCAATTTAGAATATCCAAATGCTAGCACAAAACGTGTTTTGTCGAGAAATTGTGAAAATTGCAAAAATGTTTTCTATAACGACTTTCCAAATTAGTACGTTATGTGGGGACTGGTGGAAAGTGTGGACCGATCCAAATCATTTTTAATAGCATGTCAGCGTACAAAATGTCATCAAAATATCTCAAAAATTTCGAACCATAAACAAAACAAACTTACATGGACAGACAGACGGCAGACGAATAGATAGGCTTAGGTGGGTCTATCACAACTACCGCAAATGCTGTAGAGTGGAAAAAATAAACATAATGTGCTGACATTGTACTCCGAAGGTAATAAATCGCACGAAGGGTTTCATTTTTTTAAAGACTGAGAGTATTTTAAGCGTTAATTGTGTCCTCAGATAAGAGTAGGATGACATTTGTTTACTTTTATTGAGAATGGTGCATTTTTCGATTCGATTTTACCTCTTCAATCTAGTCTAAAAAATATTTCTAGATCCGCCGGTATGCTGTAAAAGTTCAACAACTGATGAAAAAGTTTCGAAGAAGTAATAGAATGCACTCACGTTGTACAGAAACCAAAAATTGTCTGCCTCTAATTCCATCGAATAGGTTCACGCAAGCGAACCATGCTACTCAAATAATAACCTTTATTAATTTTTGTGCTATTAGGGCGAAAGAAATTCAGAGTGCATCACATCGACGAAAACTTTGCCTTATATCTTTTTCAACCAAAGATTAAACGAAATAGCCTAATATGAAGATTGCTTCACAATTGGCTCCAAGGAGTCCATTTATAACTTTGAAAACTTTGCTTAGTTTTGCGTACATGTCATTGCACTCACTTTTATTTGACTTTAACATAACGGGAGCAAAACATGGAAAATTTAGACAAACACTTGCATTTTTAATGTAAATCTCTGCAAGAATAATTGTAATAAGCATAACATTTACATATATATATATATGGTTAAGTTAAAATACCCGAGGAGAGGGTTTCAATAAAGTTTGTATATCTCATATAATATGTACATATCGTCTTAATCCGCCTGAGTAGCCGAAGGCGAGGAATCTCGACTAGCAAGTCAATGGTCGTGGGTTTGAATCTCAAGTGCGGTAGAGTGTTTAATAAAAGCCGATAGCCTTAGATGCTAGTGCTTTTAAGAGTTCCGTCTTAGAATAATACATATCGTCTTAGATAATCAATACATTGTTTCATGTATATCTTTGTGGTAATAGCGACCGAGTGCCTATTTTCCAACTTGTTGTGGAGAATTATATCTAAATAGAATTCTAATCAGTGTTGTCTTTTCTATTAGTTTTGTGCGAACCGAGTAGAGTGGTGCACCAAGAGACTGTTTTTTACTTCTATAGATGATTTCGATGATCTGATTATTAGGCACACAACATCAAGCCAAATTCGCTATTCATGTTGCATATTGTGGCGCCTCCGCTCTTCGATGCCGTGACTTATGTGCGGTGATGGATTATTCTAGGCAATGCAAGCCTCTGATAAGTTTCACATTCCCACCTAATGAGTACATCAAGTTACTAAACATCTCATTTTTGCGAATCACTTCAGCGAAGCTTTACAATTAAAATACGAGCAGTGTTAAAGGGAAAGTTTTGTCACAAAATTGATATTTCGGCTTAGCTACGATTTTAGCTTTGGGAAACTCTGGGTATTTTGATAGTTATATGCATGCGTTACATGTCTATGATCAAGTTAGCACGCCGTCCGTTTTCCGCCTATGCATATAAAAGTGTTTCACATTTACTAACACCTAAGTAATTAAATTTTATTTATAATGAATTGTATGCATACGTATGCAATTAACACATTGCAAAACGTTAGCACTCGTTTATTTGTTATTATTGTGTAAGGTTAGGTTTCTTTATTTAGATTTGTTTTTGTAAAAAAAAAAAAAAAAAATTATCTTTTACTACAACTTAATATGTTTCTTATTTTTATTCTTGTGTGACTGAAAAAGCGTAAATTTTAACTTTGCAGCCATTATTAGTGAGTGATATTCATATACATATATCGTATGGATTTCATTACATTCATAGAACAAGAAATTTAACTCGTATACATATGTACATATTTAATAACCACAATCAAGCATTACCTTCATCAGCAAGTGACAAGTTTATTGCCTTTTCGCACCAACTACAGAAGGTTGGTGCTATATTCATTTCATCAGAACGCTTGCAATTCTCAGAACTAAACTTCAGACGTTCCAAAAAGTATATATCGAATCGATGGCTGTCCGTCTGTGTTACGTTTACC